GACCCCTGATCACCAAAATAGCAAATGATTACGAAGGATACAGACTAACAACCACACAATTCACAAACCTATCTACACCACCCACAACAATTTAACAATCAATATCAATTCTTGCCTTTATGGATGACACCACACTAATTGTCAGTAACCATCAAGAGTTGCAAAAAATGTGTAACATGTGCTCAGACTTTTTCAACACTAATGATATCCAAATCAACATGTCAAAATCAAATCTTATAGTACTCAACCACAAAACCAAGCCTACCTCTTTCCTTACCACAGTCATACAAAATCAATCAATAGAAGCATTACCACCAAACCAACCAGCAAGAATACTGGGAATTTATATCGAAGGCAGAGGATCGAAAACATATCAAATACAACTAATATACAATAAAGCAATAATTTTCACTAATACACTCAAAAGAAAACATACAACAGATAAACAAATCAGATACTTACACAACCAAGTACTAATGCCAGCTATAACATATTTGTTATCAGACATGATATTATTAGAGTCACATTGTAACAAAATAATGGGATGCTAAATATTACATATAAACACAAACTAAATCTAGTGGCCACAGCACCCAACTCAATCCTTTTCAATTCTATAGAATATGGTTTCTTTTACATATGGGACAGACAGTTACTACTCCATGCAAACAACTGGCATAGAAGAATCAACAATACCAGTCTTATAGGAAAAATCACCTCAATCAGACTACAAGAACTACAAAACCAATGGTGTTCAACAAATCAATAACCGGAGAATACTTTACAAGACCATTTATTCCACATGGACATGACCTTACACATGATATAATTTTTCTCTTACAACAACATGGTTTCACAGGAGAAACATCAGACATTCACACAATACCCAAATTAGATACCACACTAGCAGAAGTCATGGGCAGTTAGTGGAATCACAAATACAAAAAACAACTAACAAAAAACAAAGTAATGTTTATATATCAATATATTAATTATCAAGGTAACAGATTAGCAGTATGGCAAGAAATTACACTTCCAAATCAACAACCTAACAAGCACAAACCTAAATGGTATATAGAGTTGTAAAACAGTACAGCCATGCTACAAATAATTCAAAATAGAAGCCACAAACAAAACACACCCAAAACAAATTACAATCTTACAATAGAAACAAAGACCAAAGATATCAAATGGGTTGTATACCGAAATAATAGTATAGATATTATTGGCAGGAAAAGGAAATATAATAAAGAACTAATCAAAATCCAATATTATAATCGAATAAATAACAATTCACCACTTCAAGAATGTGACGGATGCGACTTCAATACATACTCTACATCAGGAGAAATTAGCCTTTCTGTGGCACCCAACAGTCTTATATGTATACCAGTACACAAAAGCCGCACCAGTACCAGAAACAACATAGACAACAAACTATAATACAGAATCAGAATGTCACCGGGCAGCCTTCATTTAATGATTACAAACCAATTTTCAGGCCTCAACAGATCCCAATATCAGAGATACATATGAATCAAACTTTAGTCCATATACAAACAATCAATAAATATATCAACACATCCAGCAGTACACTACAACAGCTTGCTACCATCAGATCCATTCTTAATTACCACAAGCCTATTACTATATATATAGATGGCTCACTTAACAGACACAAAATATGGGATTTGCATGGCACACATTAAACTGCCCCAACACAAAGTTCAAAGGAAGAATCACATCATTCCTTTCATTTACCAGGGCCGAATTGGCAGCCATAGCAACAGTTCTAATTATTATATCAGCAGGAAGCAATATAACGATATGCAGTTAGGGCTCCGAAAAGTACCAAACCGGTATCGAAGTGGTATCGAAATAGTACCGATCTATAGTAAATTTAATATATGGGTTGTGACCCACTCATATAAATTTATAGTAAATTGAGTATCGAATTGGTATCGAACTGGTATCGAAGTAGTATTATTAGGAGTCCTATATGCAGTGATAGCCAAGCAGCACTTGCAGCAATTAATAAAGCAACCATAGATTCGAAACATCTCAGAACACTACAAAATAGTAACATTATCAATATGATTGTATATATTATGCAATCCTAAAAGATCAAAGTCACATGGATCAAAGTAAAAGCACACAATCATGACCCTAACAACAATCAAGCAAATTGGATGGTAAAGGAAACTTGCCAAGAGCCAAAAAACTATATAGACTTCAAACCAATCAATCACCAATCTCTCAAATGGATACCCCAATGGAACAAACAAATCCTAGACAATATGATGACTAGAACAATAAAAAATATCACCAGAATAAAATATGTTATCAACTGGAAAATGCTAAATCAAAACATAAACACCTTAATACAAAATACAGTGAATCAAATTGCATGGCTACCAATACTTAAATTCAGACAGCTATCAAAACTTATAACAGGAAATACAGATAACCAAGACCACAACATTAGAAATTTTCAACTAAAACTATGGAACCTGGAACTCCTATCCAAAGACAAATTACATACATGATCTGCCACAATATATAAAGACAACATATGTCCAAGATGTAACAAAGTTACAGAAACAAATATATATATTATGATTTACGATAGTAACCAAATAAGTACAATTAACACCATTAAACAAATAATTAATAAGGAAATAACAAGTAGAATAACAGAAACAACAGGATTGCAAATACATCAACAAATTAGCAAATATATATAGAATTGAACAGAAGAGATATTAAATTGTGTAATGAGAGGAGCATTGACTAACGGAATCATCACGATTATCAAAGCAAACACAGTATCAACAATACAAAAGGAAACCATACAAAGTATCCTTAATAGAATTCTTCAAAGTCTGGAAAAGAATTGGATACAGCGAAATAAAAAATTTATACAATGGGAAAAAGAAAACAATATTATATGGCAAGACAAACGCAAATGGACAATTAAAAAGAAAAAAGTGACACAACAAAAAACAAACATACTAGGGATCAATTCAATCATGAACCATGTAACATATAGTTGGATCAATTGGGATACACTATATAATTTTAGAATTTCTTTTAATAGGAATTGGTAGAGCCTTGGCAAATTAGTTAAAGATATATCAATAAATTTCTTTTGGCAATAAGCCGCATGATAAGAGTAATCTTTAATGAGTTTAGAGAATAGATAGAGTTTTAAATTTTGTAATTTACAAATTTATATATACTCAAAACAATATTCAATAAACAAGGTGTAAGCTACCTGTTAAAAAAAAAAAAACTTATATATTGAGTATATTTTTATTAAAAAAGTTTAATTAGTTTTTAAATTAAATTTTATTTTAAAAAAAAAAAGTTGTCTATAAACTTTTGTCCATCCTCTATATTATATAATTATATTAATAACTAATTATTAATATTGATTAACTTTTATATATATAAAAATTTTTGATTTAAGCTTTAAAATAAATATTTATTTATTAAATAATATATATATTAATAAAGATATTAATATTTTAAATTTTTAAAATTTTAAACTTGAAAATTTAAATTAATAAATTTGTAATAAAAAAAATTATATAAATATTAATATTATATGATTTATTATATATATTCAAAATTAGAATTATATTATTAAAATAATAAATATATATCTTAAATTTTGATTTACTTTTAAAAACAATCACCTATATTAATAATAATTTAATGATTTTTGAAATATTTTAAAATAATCAAAGAAATAAAAAATATTCAAAAGTTTTTTAATTAACAAAATATATTAATATATTTAAAAGAATATTCAAGATTAATTTCAAATTAATTTTTAAATAATGGTTTAAAATTAATAATTAATTAATTTAATAGAATATTTTTAAATTTAAATAAAAAAAACATCAAACTTATTTTTAAAAAATAAATTATTAAATTATTAAGAAAAGTAAAATTAAATTTTTACAATTTTTTTTAACATACCATAAATATTATTTTTTATTTGAGTTATATATTACAATATATATATTAGAACAGAAACAAATTTTTTTATAATAAGTTACTATTAACTTGTTTACAATAATTAAATAACAAATAACATATTATATTATTTGAATTTACATATGAAAAAGATAGTTTCAAAATATATAATCAATTTTATCAATATTACAATATATATTTTAAATTAACTTTAAAGACTTATTTAGTTAATAGATTTTGTTGATATTTGAGTTATTGTAATTTGATTTAAAAATATATTTTTATTAATATTCGATTTTTTTTTTAATCAGGTGATTACTGCATATGATACGATATATTTTTTGAACCAATAAAATATCATATACCAGCTTTTTTGTTAAGAGCAATGCACACAGATAGATCAAGACAAATGAATGTGATTTTAATTATTTAATTGATTGTATAAATGATTAAAAGTAAAAATCATTGTAAACAAAAGAAATGAAAGAAAAAAAAGGAATCAATAAACCGGTAACATACGGTAGCTATTGTATGTTAAAATTCAAAAGTTAAAAATAATTATGATCACTAATGTTATTTGATTAAACTAAAAATACGAGCGCCAAGTAAGACATCGACTTTAAAAAATCTGTTATTTTTTTTTTAAAAAAAACCTAAAACTTCCGAATGCATCTTATACGTCTCCGAGAATTAACCATATCCGTATTGTATTAACGCTAATTGCACTACTCAACGCCATAAACGTTACACGAGAAAATAACGAGCTGTTGGATCATATAGGAATTTCAGAAAATACCAAACCCAGTAGATCTTAAAAAGCTTGGCCCTACATTGCATACTATAGTATCGTATTGTCATTATGTAAAATCGAAAATTGTATGTAGAACTTTACAGTACATAAGGAGTGTCAAAAGGGGTAGTGTATTAGTACAAGGAATAAACAGATGAATCACACGAACGAGATATATAAATATTGATAGTTTTGTCAGGACAAAATTGAGAATTTGACAAAGAGAGAAATGTCATTCAACGATTCGAAAGCCAAATCCACGACGGGAATAAATGAACATGAAGTTATAGAGATTCCGCCACCACCATATGAAATTAATGGAGCCGCACATTCACATTTCAATCAAGAGGACAATAATATTATTTCTGATAACATCCGTCCATTCATTCAAACACCTGTACCGCTCCAAACGCATGGTCAAACCCAACCGGAGATAATCATTATCTCG